GGAATCCACACAATCTCCACATCAAGCCCACTCTTATTACAATTTAGTATGAGTTCCTTAATTTTCAGTATTAATGGGGAGATGGAATTCATTTTAAATATATTGCTCTGTAATGACATTAGGCAGCTTTTTGAATCAGTAAATATAACTGACTTAGGAATTTTATGGGAAAGAATATAGGAAATAGCCTCATATATGGCTACAGCTTCCCCAGTAAAAACAGAAGCTTGAGGAGGACATCTATAATTAAGGACAATTTTGTATTTGGGGATCCAGACTGCGGAACCGACACATTTGAATGGAGACAATTTGGAAGCATCAGTAAAAATATATAGCCAATCAGACCATTTTTTTGCCACAAGGTTGTAGAACGTTCTGTTTGCAGTGGGGGAATTTTTATTAATGTTTAAATTCAGAGTGATTTTAGGGTTTATTAATATAGCTTCATAGCTGGTTTCAAAATAGGGTAGAATTAGGGATGTTACACAAGGATAACCAATATTTTTTAATCTATTTAGAGATTTAAGAATAGGGGGCCAGCTTTTATTAAACCAGTAGGAGTTGTTTACAGCTAATAGTAGCAAGGATTCTAGTTTACGATGTAAGGGGTGAGATGATAGTTGTAGAGTTTTTGAGAGAAATCTATCAGCTAGAAACTGTCTTCGTAAAGAGAGAGGGGGATCAGCACATTCTACTTGTAAAGCATTTTTAGGAGTTGATTTCATTGTGCCTGTGATAATACGTAAACATCTTGTTTGGATAACATCAAGTCTATTAAGGGCCGATTTGTTGCAGGGCTCCAAAAGAAAAGAGCCATAGTCGAAGTGACTGCGGATGATGGCATTGTATAGGATTTTTTGACACATGGGGTGAGAACCCCACCATACGCCTGAAAGGGATCTAAGAATATTAACACCTTTCTCACATTTGTCACAGATGTAATTAAAGTGAGCAGTACCAGTCATATGACAATCTAAGAAAATACCTAAAAATTTTACTTTGTTAACAACTGGAATAGATTCACCATTATATGAGATATCAATAGTAGGGAAAACACGTTTTCTACTAAAGGTTATTGTTTTGCTTTTAGAAGCTGAAAGAGAGAGGCCATGGTCAGTAAGCCATTGATTAAGATAATATAAGCCTCTGTTAAGATGATGGGAGGCAGTTAGGATATCAGGAGCTGTTACATAGATAGCAAGATCATCTGCATATTGTAATATGTCACAGAAAGATGAAATCGAATGTTCAAGGTCATATGTGTAGATATTGTAAAGAATAGGGCTTAAGACCGAGCCCTGTGGTAGACCCTTCCAGATTGTTCTGGGCGAGGTTAACATTCCTTTATTGCGAATTTTGATAGATCGTCCCATGAACAGATTGTAAATGAAGTGTACAGTCTTCGCAGGGATGTTCAGATGAAGCATTTTCTGCCTGAGCACTGGAAGAAGAACACTGTCATAGGCAGATGATATGTCCAGGAAACAACCCACCAAGTATTCATTTTTAGAAAAGGCCAACCTAATATCTGTAGTTAGGATGCTCAAACTATCTAAAGTGCTTTTACCTTTACGAAAACCAAATTGACTTTTTGCGAGGATGTTATTATGTTCCAGAAACCATTCAAGTCTGTTTTTAATTAAATGTTCTAAAATTTTGCAAAAAGTAGATGAGAGTGCGATTGGGCGGTATGAAGAAGCTTCTTTGGGATCTTTTCCGGGTTTAAGGATAGGTATAACAATTTGGTTTGACCAAGACAGAGGAATATTAGATGATATGTAGATATTGTTCAGAATTTGGAGAAGAATTAATTTACCTTTAAGGCTTAATTTACATAAACACGCATAGGGTATGCCATCTTCTCCTGGAGAAGAGGATTTTAAGCCAGATAGCACAGACTGTAATTCGGACAATGAGAAGATTATCTCATTATTGTTGATGTAAGACGGGACTGGAATGGGTGGGTATATTCATTAGGGACAAAAGGAGGAGCTAACAAATCAGAGAAGACTTCTAACCATGGTAAAGAGTTATCAGAAATGTTGGAATCAGAAAGAAGGGAGCCACGAAATTTTTTTATATTTTTCTAAACTATTGTTACTGGTGAATTAGGGGACAAGGATTCACAAAATTTTTTCCATCCATTTTTTTTCTTTTTGGAAAGTAGTCTCCTTGTTTGAGCGGAGGTTTTTTGAAATTGTATAAAATTATCGGTTGTCATACAGTGATTATAAAGCTTTTCTGCAGCTTTTCTCCTTTTAATCATAGTGGTGCACTCAGCATCCCACCATGGAGGGGAGGATAGGTTCTTGCTGTGGGGTTTTTTGGATGGGATAAATAAGTCAGCTGCTTCAGTTATATATTGTACCAATAGAGAGTACGAAGTTATTGGGTTGGTTGAGAAGTCAACCTGCATTTGCGCAAATTTAGTATCTAAAAATTTAGTGAAATTAGTCCAATCTGCGTCTTGGAGCTTATATTTAAGGAGGGGCATAGTAAAGGGTAAAGGAATAACCGCATTGGGTTTGGTAATAAGAATGGGAAAGTGATCACTTCCATATGATTGATTGAGGGTTTTCCAAGAAAGCTGAGGGGCTAGACTAGGAGAACAAGCTGTTAGGTCGACAGCAGACCTAGGGTCTAGTCCTGGGTATACTCTTATGAGTGGGGGAACCATTGTTGATAATGCAAGCATTAATGTCTTCAAAAATTTGTATAAGTTCTGAAGAGTATATGTCACAAAAATGTGACCCCCAAGATACATGATGTGAATTAAAATCACCGGTAATAATAAAAGGGGGAGGTAACAAAGAGAAGAGAGAGGATAGTTCTTGAATTAAGTGGGTATTTGGATGAGGGATATATATTGAAATAATGTTGATTCCTGCAATTTTTGCAGCTACGGCATTAATGTGTTGGCTATGAGGAGGGAGTGCAATTTGAGAGAAGGGTAGGGATTTTTTTATGAGTAAGCAACAACCACCATAACCATCATTTCTATCTTCACGGAGGCAAGTAAAGCCTTGCAAGCGAAATTTGGAGTTAGGTAGGAACCATGTTTCTGAAATTGAAGCAACAGAAATTGAATGTTTATTTATTAGGAAGATGAGTTCAGATTTTTTAGGTTGCAAGCTTCTACAGTTCCATTGAAGGAGATGGAGGTCTTTTGTTTGAGTCATTTATATTATCTATTAAACTAGCTAAATTAAAGATTTTTTCTGCAACGTTGTTCGGTAGTGAATCTGACATTTTCAAAATTAAATTATTGAGGAGGGAAATTAGGCATTCAACAAGATTTTCATTTGGAGATATTTGGTTGTGCGTGTTGGATAAAGCGCATCCATTTGGAGTAGAGGATGGGCAGTCTGCAACTATTCTTTGATGAGCTTGTTGGTCATACCCCATGGGAATTCTAGGTATGGGGCGGGGAGGTTTGAAGATGGTTTTTCTATATGCCTGTGACATGGTGGGGAGGTTGAAGGAAGTAGTAGGAGTAGGTGAAAGCTGAGTAGAGGCCACTTCGGAATACGGTTTTTGAGGATTGTTCAATCGGATAGATGGGATTTTGGCTGAAGCTTCTATATAGGATATATTTTGTTCTGACATCATAACTTTGATAGAAATCTGCCTTTGGTGTTCCGGACAGTTTTTGTTATTAGCAAAATGATTTTTGGAGCATAACAGACAAGTGGCTTCACTTTCAGGAACAGAACAACTTGCTCCAGTATGCTCTTGGGCACAACGGAAGCAGCGTGGTTTAGAACGGCATTGATCTGCTATGTGGCCAAATCGACAACAGTGTTTGCACTGGATGGAGGGGAGTTGATAAGTTTCAACAGCAAGGGATGTGTAAAATGCATATATATATTTGGGGAGTAACTGACCTTCAAATGTCAGAACAATAGATTGAGTGGGAACCCATATTGGGGATGTTGACCCTTCAGCAAAAGTCTTTCTCTGAAGACGGCGAGCTTTTAGGATTTTACCACAACCAGGAGGAAGCTCAACAGCTTCTGCTAGTTCTTCCATTGACCAATCCACAGGGATACCGCGGATGACACCCATTCGAGAAACATTATAGGATGGAATAGTTGCAATCAATTTTTCTTTTGCAAGCATTGGATTATTAAGAAATTTGTTAGCCTCATCGGCTGAGCAGAATTCAATAGAGATGCGATTTCTGCCAACGCTTTTGACTCCCCCTCTTTTGATGTTTTCTATCTTATTTTTAGACAAGCATAAACCTATTTTAATTGGTCGAAGTGATAGCCCTATTCTAGGATCTGACGTAGCCCGGGAGATGTGGACAATAAAAGGGCCTTGGTCGTTTGGACCATACATTCTAAGATTTTGTTCTAGGCAGGGATGTTTATATATTGTGTTTATTGACGCTGTTAAATCAATTACAGAATTCTTTTTATATATTACTGGATCAAATGATCGAGTCTCAGCGTGTCTTTTTTTACCACGGCCACAATCATTATTGTCACTTACTCCAAAGCACATGTCTTCATCGGGAGGGTCAGGGGGTTTCTCACGAGGAGACCCCGTTTCGTCACCCATAATTGGGTTTAATGTTCGAAATAACTATAACTTATAAACGTAGACTTACAGCAGAGGAATCCACCACCACAAAATAAGGAAATTAAGGAGAATTAACCAAATACCGAAAAGCACTCACAAGTACGTGTTAACCATTCGACCGTTGGCCATAGACCCCTATATTACTTATTCTGAACCTTATCTGCAAATTTGGGTATATATTGCAAAATAACCCTGTATATTTTATTTTATTATTTCATACAAATGATATCATACAAATTAATATGACAAAATTGTGGTCCATGTTTATGTAATATTAATTATACAAGTTATTTTAGTATATAACAGATAAGTTCTTAGTTCAAGTATAGTACTCAGTCAAAAATGTTTGAGAAACAATGATTTTATGTTTAAATAAAATCTCAAATCACGTCAATCACAAGTTTTTATACACCTACCTGCAAAAAAGCTGCATGATCTGATTCTTTTAAAGCTTCTATAGAAAAATGAAGCAAAGAAGTGGCTTCTCGCAATTTTTGTGCAGCATGTGATGTAAGCGAGCGCATATTGGCAATGGCCTGTGAACGAGTGTTCCGAGCAGCACGGACTAATTCATCTCTACGACGATCTATGGCACGTGTTACTTCTGCACAAGCTTGGTCAATTTGTCTCTCCAGTTCTTCACATGATTCCTAATAAAATTGAACATTAACAACTATTAACTGTATGTAAATAAAAATGTTTTTACTTTGTGTTATAATGATTTCTTATATTTACGCGAACACTACACATTGAATAAAACTATTTTTACGGATTTTATCGCGTTTAATTAACTTATTTTATATTCCCGACGCTTCTACTACTACGGGGGTCCCCGTGACTACGGGGGTCCCCGTGACCACGGGGGTCCCCGTGACCACGGTTGCTGGAAAGCAACCGAAACGTCGGGAATATAAAATAAGTTAATTAAACGCGATAAAATCCGTAAAAATAGTTTTATTCAATGTTTACTTTGTGTTATTAATCTTTTTTAAGTTTATAGCTTTAGTACTCATTCATAGCAGAATACATAAAAATTTTGAAGCTTATAATTACTTATTATCATTTTATATAAAAATTGAATAAAATTATTGTTATTAAAAACAAAAGCCGTTCTAGTTGCATCTATTATTTCTTATAGAGTTGCATCACTATTTGGATAAGACTGCATCTAGCAATTTCATTAGCAATGTAGTGTTTACTATGATAGGTCATTTCGAACTTAACAACTAAACAATGATGAACATGACCATCTAACTCTTCCTCACCTAAAAATTTTTAATAAAAAATAAACTGAATTATGTAAGCATATTTTCACCAACCGGATTGAAATTATTTAAATGAATTGATTTGAACTCTTATGTACTTAATGCTCATGTGGAAAAAATAAAACTTCAAGTTCTTCTTATAATAAATCCTTAAGTTATCTTACATATGAATAAGACTTACGCATTAGAACCAAACAGTTTGCTTCGTCTTTTGTAATGCGTACAGCAAAGGAGTGGAATAATTTGCCTGCGTCTATCTTTCCGTCCGAATACAATCTAGGTGTCTTCAAGGCAAGAGTGAATAGGCTTTTGTTACGATAAGACTGTGCGATTTACCATTTAAGGCTGCATCACTACTTACCACCAGGTGGGATTGTAGTCAAGCACTGGCTTATAATAAGTAAAAAAAAAAAAGACCTCCCTAAAGCAAGAGTAGCCTATATCCAGCAGTAGACTTTTACAGCCTAATAATAATGATGCAACTCAGTTATGAAAGCTACAACAAATATAATGTAAAATATCATAGTGAATACTTGATAAAGCTACACTAGTAGATGTATTATTAATGCAGTATGAGTTGACTGTCAACTCATACTGTCTTTATCATAAAGTGAACTACGCACTTATTGAACAACCTCCCAATCCAAAATCCCAATTTAATAATCATTTATATTGTTTGTGACAACTTACATTAATTTTATCTCCTGATCCTTTAACTACTTGTATATATTCAGTCATTGCTTTAGCTTGTTCTGAAAGCTGCTGCAGTGATTGAGATAATTCAGTCTGAAAATTTATTAAAAAATTAGTTATAAAATCCAAAGAAAAAAAAAACTATTTGATTATAATTGAAAGCTGAATTCACCTTATAAGCTCTAGCTGCACTGGACAGCTGCTGTGTTTCATGGGTAGAGTGACGTTCAGCAAGGCATCTCTGGCAAATAGGCACTAAGCATGTATTACAATAAAGAACTGGTGGTGAACCATGATCAGAACAGGTAGTGCCTAAGGCTCGCAATTCATGTTGCGCCAGTGGACCCCGAGTAGGGTGCCATGCATCACGACAACCAGCACAATATCTAACTGAACATTGTTCACATCTGACCACCGCTGCACGTCTTTCTCCTTCACACATTTGGCAAGCTTCCTCTGCAGGAGGCGCCCCAACCACGCCACCGAATCGCTCTACAATTGTACGCATTACACGAAAAGGCGGCAATCCTTCGGCTCCATTGTCGTCCAAAAAAACTTGTTTGTTGCATTGCGGACATGTGAGGGTAAATGCTGCCGACGCATACGCTGAAGCGGCCGGTGTTCCTGCAAAACTATTCGGTCTTGATCCACAAACTACACCACTATCGGTTTCACTTGACACTGACGCCTTATCCGCTTCTTGATAGTCAATAGCTGTCCCTGAAGCATTATCTACTTCTGGTAAATGACTTTGTAGACCTACTGCACACACACGGCACAAAGCGTGTCCACAAGGCAATAATACTGGTTCTTTATAAAATTCTTTACAAACGAAGCACCTTAATTCTTCTTCCATTTTGCGTGCATTCCGATCTATTACAGCATTATTTCACAATCACACTATTATGATTCGTCGTTGGTATCTTAACATTTAATATATAACCATCTGCTACTATTATTTAACTATGTTTATGAAAGACATTTCTGTTATACATGCCGTCTATGCAGTTTATTTACTTTATCGAAATAAAAAATAAAATAGAAAATACAAATACATGAACTTGACACTTCTTCTTAATAACTGGCTTAACGGCTCTGGGATCTAGCCCTTCTGAGCCTGAACGCGTAGTGTTTTACTGCTTTCCTATATAAAAAAGTACTCTGTGGTTACTACTGTTCCTATATCATTGAAATAGTATCTTATAGACTAAACATTCAGTTACGTTATCAGCATATGAAAGGAATGCACGTATATAGTTAGACATAAGAGTAAGGGAGAAGCAAATCTATATTTCTTGTCTTTTTCTAGGTATGCGTTTTTGATTGTTTTCCCTCCTTTATTTGACATTAACGATGTCAAGCTCTTTTGAATAATATTGATATTATAAGCAAACAGGTAATTGAATTTTGTGTTTTATGTGGATTTTAGTTATTAGGTAAGGTGAAAAAGATGGTAAGTTGTAGCATTTTAGGATGGAACAGCATCAGTCAACGAAAAATTGATAATATTACCTTTCATCGGTAAGTTTGTTTTGTGCTTACATTTGCTACTTGTACTGATTAATATCTATTGTTTTGAATATAAAGTGTAACATTTCATGTTTTTAATGTACTTTGTGAAGTATTTTGTCAAATATTTGGACTCCTAAATTTTAAATTCTTCATGATAATGCTCCTTAATTTGAACGGTCATTCGAAAGCTTAAAGTCATAACAAACGTGTACTTTTTGATTTGGTAGGACTATAGAAACTTTAGGGATATCAGCGAGTACACATTGTTCAATAATAATTGTTATTGTGATTAGTAGTTATGTCCATAAATATGAATCACACAATGTTATACATATGCATACACTTTTATGTTCAGCTTTAAAGGAAACTCCTTATTGCCCTACAACTCTTCAATCATTTTCCATATTACATAGACGTCACAAATAATATGTAAGTATCAATAAGTGAAAACATGTTTGGATTCAAGTACATAAATATTGGACAAAGTATATTTAATTTCACAAAATATGTATTGCCTGAAATCAGATGCACAAAACTTTATTGCATTCCATTAATTCTATTATACATTAGCAACAATTACATTACAATATTTATTAAAAAAATATGTCATGCTAATATAAAAATAAATATAAATATAGATAAAATAATAAATAAATAAATAAATAAGTCTTAATCTTAAGGTACACAATAACACAACAACATAAGATAATATTCTCAATTAATGATGTAGAAAAAATTTGATGATAACATACTTACCGTTACCATTAGTCGGTATCAAAAGTTATAGGTTTTGTGATAGTTGCCTTGCTTGGCAGGAGAATTGGCAACTGCAGTTATTTGGAGACAAACTGTGTGGGAGGTCTATGTTCAGCGGTGGAGGACATTTGTTAGGCTGTAAATGTATTAATTAACAATATCTAAAGCTTAATATGTACATAATTTTTTTAAATGTTTGGTATGAATAATATTATTATTACATTTACATATACTTGCTATTTAATTAAATCAATTGATATTGATATTGTTTTAATTGTTATAGGCATTGTATTTATGCACAGATACACATACCTACTTTATTTTTATTTGTTAAATACCTTGATATAAAAGTGTACTATATATTTAATATATTAATTTCTTTTAAATATATTATTTCACAGCTTTACTAAGGAATCAGCAATCCGTAACAGTTGGATAATCGCTACTGGTAGTGCTTATAGATAACCAACAAAACTTATCAGTGTATGCTCAAAACATTTTAAGCCTCATTGTTTTAGGTGGACTAAATATGCTTAACTTATGTAATTTATAATATAATTAAGATAATTTTTTTAAATGTTATAATTTCTTGTTGTATCTTGTTGTTTCTCCATAAGTGATATAAGTTTGATCTTGTTGGTAGTTATGATTTTTGACATTGTTCTGTATGTATTAAAAATTGACTAGCATTGCTTATTTTATTTTCAAATGCTGACATTCTGTATTATTATGACTTGTAATAATTGGGTGGCATGACAATGACAAAATATTTACTTATTGATGTATTGATTAAACATGAATCCCCATTTACAAATGTTGGAATTTTATCTGTACTACCATGTTTTATGCAAATAAAGATTTAAATAAAATAAATAAATAAGTAATTTAAAGTCCTGACCTAAATATACAAATGAATAATTTATTATGCAATAATAATTGTAAAACTGACTGGGAATGCCTACCAATGGGACAATTAGTCCACCCTTAATCCCTTTTATAAAGGTGTTATAAACATTAATGTGTAAATAAATTAAGAAATAAATGTAATAATTATGATAATTTCTATTTAATTGTCATAAAAATAATGTAATAAAGATGTTTTTGACAAGAGATAAGTATTACCTATCTAAGTATAGTTTAGGAGTTGTACCTTATTATTTATACCATTAAAATATATTATATACAATTATATACATGCTCTAGAAAGAAGACAAAAATTTTGTTAAATTTGTTGTTTAATATTTATAATAATTGTGTTTTCATTTGTTTTACTTAATCTAACATTGTAAATATTTCTATTTTGTGTAAGTACACAAAATTTAGTTCTTTTTCCTTTTTAAATTCCAATATATTTTCATTTAAATAGAATATAATATATCTTTACAGTCTATCAAAAGTCCACTGTTGAACATAAACATTATTATAGTTATTTGGCACAGTTTCAACGCTTGGAAAGCGGGTTGTCAACCATTATTTAGCTGTTATCAGGACAATGCTGCTGTTTATCTTCTTTGATGTTTCCTTATGTCGCCTCATACACCACCCATGGAATGATATGAGGTAGCAGATAATCTTACACTGCATGGTAAATTAAAATAGAATATTATAAAACATTCGTTTTTATTTTATATACCAACATATTACAAAAAGAAATCCTTTGTTGATGCTTTACAACGTATATTAACTAAAACATTTTACCACCTTTACCATTAGGTAACATGATTAAGCCACCTAACAATAAGTAAGTCAGCTAAAAAAGGCCTTCCATAGATATCCTCATAGGATGACTTGCCATAGTTGGCCACCGCAATTTTTTATTATTTTAAGTTTTCATCGGGAAAGTGCTGCTGCCCCATCCCCATCTTGTATTATTGCTTACGACGCGGGGTAATATCATCCCGTGTACAGACAAATTCTCTTGTACGCCACAACTTGCCGCACAAGGGACACTAACTTAGCAAAACATGCAGGAAATCGCGGGAGTAGGCTCATAACCGTGTTTTGTACTACAAAACCTAAGTGGAAACCCTTTTCTTTCGAACGTCTGTGTTCAGCACTGAACTTGTGATGGAATGGTATGTTAAAACATTTTTTTTTGTAAAAACAACAAAACTCGACACAAGAAACTATTTGTTTATTATTTAATATTTAAGTACATACATAACATATTGTTATTTATTAGCGATATCACACTTTGTGATATTAGCGCCTTCACTTAGTGCCGTCGAAATCCAAAGAGTTTATTGAATGTCCAGTAAAATCGTCGATGCGCCGTTGAATACAGAATGATGATTCTGTTTTTACGCCGTTTCCGCCCGTAGTTTTTGTCACAATGTATTTTCAAGAGAAAATAATTAATCATCTGAATTATAAAAGAACATTTTTTTATGGTAACAATTAAGTTTTTTGTATGAATGTAAGTGCTGTGAATATAAATAAACCCATATCGGGGGAAATGGAACAATATCTGGTAACCCAGTGAAAGTACCTCCCGCCTATTTCTATCTCAAAAGCATATGCGAATGCTTTATCTAGTCAATCCTCTATCTACGTCCTATATAGTTTGTGGCCTGAAGTTACAAAATCATATTGACAATGACAAGTAGTACCACATACTACTAATACTTAATAGATAATTGTGAACGCGTAGTGTTTCTATCAGTGGTTTCTATATAGTTTGTGATAATTATGCTGTGGCTGTGCGGCTGCTGTTCTGTAAAGTATTATTATAATTCTGTTCTACTAACAGATTTTTTTAAACTGGCTTTACGGCTCTGGGTTCTAGCTCTTTTTAGCCTGAAGCTACAAAGAGATATAATATATTATTTACACATACTAATTTGATGCATTATATATACAATAATCTATGACTGAGACACTTCTTAATAGTTTGAGAGAGGATAATGCGCACAAACGAACAAGAAGTGCTAGGCGTGAGCATCATGTTAGTCTGTGAGAGGATACTAGACATAGATTATATATATATACTAGAGTTTTATACTATAAGTACGAAGAAAATATATATATATTGAATAAATTTAAAATTGAGATTAATAAATGACTTCTACACAAGTGTTATTACAGTGTTAAGGAATATTTTAATTGATTGCAATATTATTAAACGTATTATATAATTTATTTATTTTAACATTATGTACAATTAAATTTGATTATTTTAAGATATATTTGCACACCGGTACAACGCCCGGTAGAATATTATTGAGACTTATTCTTATACTATAAATACCTGTATTACCTAAACATTTTATTCTACAAATAAAGATTTTGACTTTGACTTTGAAAAACTGTTGTAGTACTGGTGATGAGTCAACTCGACTTACTAATTCTATTTAACTCGAGTGGATACTTACTAACTTCGGTTAGGACTGGCGGTAATTGAACGAAACATACGAGCTAGCGAGGGCAGAGTTGGTTCATCGTACATATGTATTACATAATACCAATAAATTGATTAAGTTTAATTTATTATGTTAATAACATAAATACCTACGTCATAAATTTAGAGTGATATTATTTTATGAAAATATAGATAAAATTTTGTTCAAATCGTAATAAATAATAGTTGTT